GCAGTTTTTGTTTGTCTGAGAAATGTACTATTTGCCCTTCATTTCGGAAGGACAGCCTTGCAGGGTAGAGTATTCTTGGTTGGCAATCTTTGTCTTTTAGTATTTTGAATATATCATCCCATTCTCTTCTAGCCTTTAGGGTTTGTGTTGAGAAGTCTGATGTTAACCTGATTGGAGCTCCTTTATAGGTTATTTGATGCTTCTCTCTTGCAGCTTTCAAGATTCTCTCTTTGTCCTTGAGTTTTGTCATTTTGACTATAATATGCCTTGGTGAAGCCCTTTTTGGGTTGAATACGTTTGGAGATCGTTGAGTTTCTTGGATCTGTAGATCTGTGGTTTTTCTTATGTCTGGGAAGTTTTCTGCCACTATTTTGTTGAATATGTTTTCAATACATTCGCCTTTTTCCTCCCCTTCTGGAATACCCATGATTCGGATATTTGAGCGCTTAAGGTTGTCTAATATCTCTCTCAGATTTTCTTTGATATCTTTGATACTTTTTTCTTTTTTCTTGTCTGCTTGTATTATTCCAAAGAGCCCATCTTCAAGAACCGAGGTTCTCTCTTCAACTTCCGTTATCCTGCTGGTTAAACTCTCCATTGTGTTTTTTATTTCGCTGAATAACTTCTTCATTTCGGCAAGTTCTGCTACGTTTTTTTTTTATGACGGTGATTTCCTTGTACATTTCCTCTTTCAGGTCCTGTATGTTTTTCCTGGTTTCATCATGTTGTCTAGCTGTGTTTTCTTGTATCTCATTCAGCCTCTTTAGGATTAACACTTGAAATTCCCTGTCATTCATTTCAAGGGCTTCTTGTTCTATAGGATCTAGAGTTTGAGATTTATTGACTTTTGGTGGTGTATTTTCTTGGTTTTTTGCATTTCGGGTATCTCTTTTTGGGTGTTTGTTCATTTTGGCAGGGGTTTTCTCTCGAATCTTGGACCTCCAATTCAATAGATGGAGCTATTGAGCCTTGCAGATCGTTCCTGCCAGCTGTGTACCTCTTGCTGGCTTCTCTTCTGGGTCCTAACATTCCCGCCGGCGCCAAAGTATCGAAAATATTTTGAACTACAGAATAATAAATATACATAAACATATACAAATCAATACTTGTAGGAAAAAACTAATGCTGCTTTTAGAGGGAAAATTTGTGACTTTAAATGACTGCAAATAAGAAGTTAAGAAAATCTGAAAAATGACAACTTAGGTATCCGCTATGGACTAAATTGTGGCCCCCTAAAATTCATATGTTCGAGCCCCAATCCCCAACATGACTATATTTGGAGATGGGGCTTTTATGAAGGCAGTTAAGGTTATATGAAGTCTAAGAGTGTGGCTCTGATCCAACAGGATTAGTGTCATTACAGAGCTTGTGCTCCCTTCCTGCCTCCATGCCACTGAGGATACAGAAAGAAGGTGGTTTTCTGCAAGCCAAGAAGAGAGCCCTCAGCAGAATTCAACCATGCTGGCACCCTGATCTGAGATTTCCAGCCTCCAGAACTCTGAGAAATAAATTTCTGTTGTTTAAGCAACCCAGTATATGGTATTTTCTTATGGCAGCCTGAACAAACTAATACATTATCTATCTCAAGAATTTAGAAGAAAATCATCAAATTAAACCCAAAGAAATATAAAATAAAAAATATAATATAGATTGGGGTAGAAATTGGCGAAACTGAAAACACACGTATGAAGGATATCGTCAAAAGAGCAAAAAGTGGTTCTCAGGAAAAAAAAATGTGACTAATAAAACTGATAAATTCTTAGCAAAATTTATCAAGAAAAAAAGGAAAGAAGGCACAATAAAACAAATACCAAGAATGAAAAAGGGCATCACTATAGAAATTAAAAAGATAAAAAGATGGATATTATGGACACATTTATATTGACATATTAGAAAATTCAGAAGAAATGAACTTATTCTTAGAAAAACAACAAAATGACANAGGTAGTGTTATGCCTCTGGCTTTATTTTTTTTGCTCAGGATTGCTTTGGCTATTCGGGCTGTTTTGTTGTCCATATAAATGCTAGGAATGCTTTTTCTATTTCTGTGAAGAATGTCATTGGTATTTTGATGGGAATTATGTCGAATCTGTAGATTGCGTTAGGAAGAACAGACATTTTCACAATGTTAATTCTTCCCAACTGAGAGCATGGTATGTCTTTCCACCTTTTTGTGTCCTCTTTAACTTATTTCAGTAGTGTTCTGTAGTTTTCACTGAAGAGATCTTATACCTCCTTGGTTAAACTGATACCTAGGTATTTTATTTTTCTGGCAAATATTGTAAATGGGCTTGCTTTCTTTATTTCATTTTGTTAGCTTTTTACTTAAGTATAAAAACACTACTGAATTTTGGGTGTTGATTTTGCATCCTGCAACATTACTGAAATTGTTAATCAACTTTAAGAGTTTTTAGGCAGAGTCTATAGGTTTGTCTGTATATAAGATCATGTCATCTGCAAACAAGGACAGATTGACTTTGTCCTCTCCAATCTGGATGCCATTTATTTCTTTCTCTTGCCAGATTACTCTGGCTAACACTTGTGATACTATATTAAATAGGAGTGGTGACAGTGGGCATCCTTGTCTTGTTCCTGTTCAAGAACAAGAAAAAAGCTGAGAACAAGAGAAAAGCTGAAAGGATGATACTGGAGAATGGTTTGTTATAAATGGCTTTTACTGTACTTAGATAATTTCTTTCTATACCTAATTTGCTGAGAGTCTTTCTTACAAAGGGATACTGAATTTTGTCAAGTGCTTGCCTTTTCTGCATCAACTGAGATAATCATATGGTTTTTGTCCTTGGTTTTGTTGATGTGGTGTATCAGATTTACTGACTTGCGTATGTTGAACCAACATTGCATCCCTGGGATAAATACCGCTTCATTATGGTGTATAATTTTTTTGATGTATTGCTATAATCTGTTTTGCTAGTATTTTGTTGAAGATTTTTGCATCTATGTTCATCAAGGGTAATGGCCTGTAGTTTTCTTTCTTTGTTGTAACTTCATCTGGTTTTGGTATCAGAGTAACACTGGCCTA